CTCTGGCAGGCTGGCGCGCTATTCACGCACAGGAGGGTACTCACGGGAAGCATTTGAGATGCTTACAGTAAAGTGTGTGTTTAGGTTTAAGAGGATGGAGGGGCAGCTCCTGTAAGCATGTGTAAAGACAGAGTGATCATTAGTACATATTTATTGAAGTTTACCAGCTATGTAACAAAGGGTTTCTCTTTGCCATCAGAGTTAATTCCTCTGTAATTATGCTCTTAATATAGAAATCATTTGGTATTTATTTGCCATAATTAAACTTCCCATTGCATTTAAATTCAATGTGAAGTTAAGTGTATTTAGGAGACTCAGTTGAAGACCTGAATTAAATATTCCCAGTTTCCTTTTTCCAAACAAGACAAACTCAGATTAATGCTAGCAGTCAGAGAGCCATGTGTGCAGCTACGCTGTGATCAGTAGAAGTTGTGCGTACAAACCCAGAGAGAGATTGTAGCCCCTCTGGTGTGGGCAACTCTTTTACCATCTTTGCACTGCCCTGGTCTGTCCCATGGCACTGATCCTGCTGCTGATGCTAACAACTGATGCTACTTTTTTGTGCCTGAGCAAGGAAACACACAATTAAGAAAAAATTACAAGTGCTATGATCACCACCAGCCATCACAGTTTGCTGTATAATTTGCACTGCTTTTCAAAATGCTCATTTTAATAGTGGCAGCAGTAAGATGTTGGCTTTTTAGAGCCGAGCTGGTGTAAGGAGAGATCACTGAAGCAGATATAGGAGGCCAGAGAGCTCTGCATTGGGTGCAGCTGGAGCAGGGAGAGCCTGGAAGTCCATGGGTTGGCCAAATGGCACTGCCATCTCCAGGCCTGGTGTGCTCAGAAGGAGCCCAGGTAGGCTTGCACCTGCACATCCAAAGGCTGGGAGGTTTGGCTCATGTCCAGTACTCTGCTTATTCTTCAGTTGTCTCTATCAGACCAAGTATGAGGGAGGCTTGGAGGTTAAACCAGGTTAGACAGTCCTCCGTCTAAAAGGGTACAGAAAAGGGAAAAATCTGTTATTGTTAATTTGTGGTTAAAAGAACAGGCCTGGGAAACATTCCCCATAGCTGCCTGCTGGTGGGTGAGCAATTTCAGCTTCAGTAGCAATGTGTGGATGGAGTCCCAGCACCACAGATGAGTCTGTTAAATAGCAAATAGAATGGCTGGGTGAAACACCGACATCAGTATGCTGATCCTGATGTCGCTATTTTCTCCCTGGATACACCAAGCATCAGAAGCTCACATTAGCAATAATTTTTTCCATCCTTTCTCAGAACTCCTCCCAGAGGGCTTAAAATAGCAGGGCCCAGATAATCATTACCCACTTTGACGTATTGCAATGGACACAGATCAGGATTTCATAAAGAGAGGACAGAGCTGGAACAAACATGGACTCCCAGTTCATGTCCAACCATCTCATCCCTGTTTCTCTGCAGCTATCCACAAAGGCAGCATTTGGAGCATTTTTCCAGTTAATTTCAAGCAGCTGGCAGCATTAGGCCCATGCTCTGACTCCTCACAAAGCCATAGGAACCCCTAAATCAGGACAGTTCTGCTCAGCCAGTTCATTGAGGCAGTGGAGGGAGATCCCAGGAGATCCCACACAAGGGCTAGGCAGGAGTGATGGCTGGGCTAAACATTAGCAGGGACGATATTCCCCCAGTGACAGAGCCCACATGGCCTTTCTGAGCATCTGAGCCACAAAACAGTATTTTATCCATAGGCTGGCAGGGGAAGAGCTGAATCCAAGACCCTGATTCCTCTTCTGTTAACATTGGTTTTACCACCCTTCATACCAACCCCGATTTAGACCTGGATAAAAAAACATGAGGGAGTTGCCTCTGAGTCCAAAATCTTCTTGGTCGTTTAAGAGGGACAAGACGCTAGAGAGCAAGCTGAGGATCTACTGGAAGCTGCAGCTGAGGAGCATTTCTCCACTAGTTCCACTAAAGCAGAAATATTTAGAAATGCTCAGGCTGATCTGAATGACAGGATGTAATCAAACAAAATAAGATTGCAAAAATAAGTGTTGGAAATTATTCCCTCCCTTCAAAGGACCTTTTGAGAACAGTTCCAAAGGGAATTAGTGGGAACACGGCTGCTTGAAGCACAGGAGGATATGTTGTGCAGACCATCTTCTCCAAACCAACAGAAACAGACATCGGGGTTGTAATTTCCAGCTCTAGTTGCTGTGAGCTGTGTCTCCTTTTAGTCTTGCTTTTGTGTGTGTCCGTAAAGTGAATCCTTCATGCGTTAATCACAGCTGACAGTCTGTTCCCGAGCTCACTGTACAGTCAGCAATGAGATTTTCTCCTTTGCTGTACCAAGAATTTATTCCTTTAATATGCCTTTGGTGTTTATTTTTCTTGTGGTACATAAGTGCATGTGTACGTGTGTGCATTTGGCACTTTTTATGAATGCCTGCTGTGTACAGAATTGGGCTTCACAGTATGCAAAAATAGCTGTGCACCACATGCAAAGATATAATATTTCACACGGCTGGAGAAAATGGTGATAATTCATGTTTTTGCTGGATTTGCAAAATATCCAGAAATTGGGGCCTTCCAATCTCCACAGTTCAGACCTGAGTTCTTGCAGGAGACAGCAGGACAATCTATGTTGCAGACTGCTGCTTGGGAAATGGGGACTAGTCCCCATGGCGGTGTGGGAAACTTAAGGACACCTTCTGCCTCCGAAGAAAAGAGCCCTGATTTTGTTGATTGATTTATTACAGAGCCAAAGTGCCCACGGTCACTCTCTTCCCTGCCCCTCTGCAGGCTACAACTACACGTTTCATCCACTTTGCCTGGAGGTTCTTGCTGTTTGTTTGCTCCATCCCACCCCACGCCTGATCCTGCCTCGCCGGTGTTTTAGATGCTCTTTAAGCAAAACCCAGGGCTGAGAGCTCAGAGCGGAGGGGCGAGGAACAAGCATAGATTTAGCTGGTGAGGGAGAGGGAATGCCCTAGTCCCTCTCCGTTTGCCTCCTGGCCCACATAGATTCCCTATGGCACTTGTGCTTTTCCACCACAACACTAGCAAGGGGCACAAACACACACGGCAGAATTCCTGCACCTCCAACTACACCTTGCACAGACAGTTTGCATGCGAAACACCAGGGCTCTCTCCCACACACCGTCCTCCTATCTAATCTTTTCCCATTTTGCCTCTCCTGATAGACCTGTCTTGTTCTGTCGCACCTTTCCAGATGAGAAATAAATCCACAGATCCTAAAGCCCTCTTTGCTCCATCCCCCTCCCTTCACATCCCCGCCAGTGTGTAATGAAAATCAGTGTCAGGTAGAATGGAGTCTGACTTTGTAATGTAAACAGTTATTTACAGCTTTGCTGAAATTTTAGAAAAAAATGACATTTTCAGGTCACCTAGCTGAAGGAAATGAAATGATTAACTTTTTTTCTTTGCATTAGATTTCATATAAGGAGGTATAATTCTTGCCATGCGTGACTCTCACTTCACTGGGCCTTCAGAGCTAACGTGGATCCCTGAAAACTAAGGCATTTTTCCCTCAGGTTTAGCAATAATGGAATTGTTCATGTAATGCAAGGCAAGCCAGGGTGGGCATCTTTTGCTGTGTCCTGCAACCCCAGTGCCCAGACTCTGTTTTCCTGGTGCACCATCAACAGTAAGAGTGGGGAGACCAAAGGACTGATCTAGGTTGATCCTCTCCCCAGCACTGAAATTATGATGCCATCCTTTTCCATCTGTAGATACTCCCATTCTATCTTTAAAGCTTTAAATCTCTGGATTCAACTAAATACCCAGTTGGGGTCCATATTATGGCTTTTAAACTTTAAAAGGTGGGAAGTAAAAGGTAATGGCTCTATTCTTCTCTAAATAAGTAATAGTAAATGGTCAGCATAGGTGATGGTCACTTGATTGTAGAATGAACTCCTGAGCTGGTTTGTATGGAAGTTAATTTAGACCTGTGAGGAACAGGGTAGTAGAACCTGGATCAGAATAATGTAGCGGTTTCCTCAATAGTTTGTTTAAAGCTATACCAGAAACAGGGGAGCAATCCAAAAGAGTGGCTGCTTTGGTCACCACTTATCATAAACGTGTTCATGGGTTGCAGAGCGGGACAAAGATTGCATTTCATCTTGCTTGCTTCTGCGGTGGAGGTAGCCTGACCCTCAGTATATCCGTGCTTAGGACTAATTTTTGACACGGGCTCTCTGCAGGGAAGTGGATGGGGGGTGAAATTTGAGGACCTTTTCCCTGCTGTGTTACGGATACACAAAGACCTGGATATAAAGCACACACTTGATACTCAGGTTCACTCCTCTTGATCCAGGAGCACTCAGAAAGAGAGACTCGTGTCTTGCACTGCAAACATTTATCATCTGGCAAATTCTGAGAGGTTCTGCATCACGCTGGGGTCAGCCCGTCTGCAGAAGAGGAGCGGCACCACCGCGTTCGGCATGACTCAGTTGCACTGAAAGACCTGAGGTCATGGTGTCTCCTCCAGGGTGCCTGGTTCAGTTCAAGGAAGCTGCCCTGAGCTGAGTAGGACCCCAGGATCCAACAGAGCCTGCCTAGCACCTTTCCCCACCAGGAACCCTTTTTTATTGAAAAAAAAAAAAAAAAACCCGGTTGCAGATAGCCATAAGTCAGAGAAGTGAAAGGGTAGTGTCCAGTCCCTGTCAGAACTATGCAGTTTGTTGCAACCTTGGGTGGATTTTGCAGGGCTAACAGGAGCTGTATTCGTGTAGCTTTTTCTTCAGTAGTGATATTGGGTGTTTCTCATCTTCCCACCCATCTCTTTCTGAAAGAGAGAGACCTCTTTGAGACCTCCACATCACTGTCCAACTCTGTTCAGGAATTATTACAGGGACACGGCACGGTTGCCTAAGCCAGGTAAAAAGAAACACGCAGCCAACGAGCAGATGATGGGAGCACTTAGGCCAGCAGCAGCGCCCGCGCGTGGGTGCCCAGCCGTGCCGTGCCGTGCCGTGCCATGCCATGCCGTGCCGTGCCATGCCGTGCCCGGGTGCTGTGGGAGGACGGGGCCTTGCTGATGCTGTCTCTCTGTTTCAGGGGGAGTTGTTGAGCCCATGTCGATGCGATGGATCGGTGAAATGCACGCACCAGCCATGTCTGATCAAATGGATTAGCGAGAGAGGCTGCTGGAGCTGTGAGCTGTGTTACTACAAGTATCACGTCATTGCCATAAGCACAAAGAACCCTCTGCAGGTAAAGGTACTAGAGACATTTCAAAGTCTATTTATTCTTGTTTCTATTTTTGTTTCTGAGAGTGACTGAATTTTACCTGCGTGGTTTTTCCTTCCCTGTGCACAGTGATCTTTTCATCTGAGCCCTCTAGAAAGGGTTGTCAGGGGCTGGTCCAGAGAGGCACTGTGCTGTGCTTGGGGGCAAGCAGGGAAATGCCTTGGGAACCTGCTCTTCCTCTCCTTTGACAACGTCTGCATTCATTTTCTTCCTGCATAAAGACGCTGTGTGACTATAGTAGTAATGTAACACCTAACAGCCTTTTAGATGCATTCATCCACTGAATACTGCAGATGCATCTCTCCAGGGGCAGATGTGCGACAAGAATTCAAAGGAATTCAGCGATTCCCTATAGGACACTCAAAAACTCTATGGTGAACCAGCATCTTGCAAGCTTGCGTGCCTGCAGCTGTGCCATAAACCAAAATCTTCTCCTGGGATTCTTTAGTGTTGATATGAGGGATGGAGGAGGTGGATGGAGGGCTCTTCCAGCTTCTCTTCTGATCCTATAAGCCTCTTTGTTTTACTGCTCGCCCAGAAGCAAATACATCCTGGCACAGCAGTAAGAGCGGTGGAGCTGGTGCTCTGGTCTCTGTAAGCCTAATTCTCAGTGATGATTTGCAGGTGTGTACACACCAGGTAACACACTTCTTTATATAAAAGGCATCAGGAGACCTTCTTTTCTGAAGGTCAGTTCAAAAGCACTGCGTTTTGTTAAGCCCACACAGGCTAGCAAATAAAGTCAAGATTTGGAATGGGGAAAAACTGTATAACTGTTAAAAATTGGATAATTTATCCTTAATAGCTATTGATTTATTGCTGGGGCAACACCTGAAGTTGGGCTAAGTGCTGCATGCTTTTACTGAGTACCATTAGGGCCTTGGAGGTAAGGAGGCCCATTAGATCTAGGCACTATTGCTTAATTAGCATCATCTAGACTGCTTAGGTATTGCAGCAGCATGTCACAATTTAGACCATGTCCATAGCGACATTGTCCAGCACCTGGCTGAGAGGCCTTGACTCATTGCTGGTCCCTCTGCTCTCTGACAGGAGGCAAAGACCTTGCCAGGGAGGTGCCACCCCATTTTATTAAAGGGAAGGAAAGAAAAGGGAAATGTAAAGCCTTGATCTCTCCTCCGAACTGTCTCTGTTTCTCTTTTGCTTCAATCCTAAGGGACCTGCACATAGTGAGGAAACAGGCACAGCTCTCTAGGTCTCCATACTAAAATGAAGTAGCAAAATTAGTGGGGATGTCATAGGGAACTTTTGAGCGGCTGGGGATGAGGGGTAAGAAAAAAGACTTCTTCCCCTGAAGCTTCTGATTTGATTTCCCATGAGCTATGGGCTAAAGAGATCAGCACTTTCATCCCAAACCCCAGACAACGGTGTCTTTGATTTCTTGGCTCTAGTAACTCAGACCAGATTGAAAAACAAGAGGGGAGATTTGGACAAAGTAGCATTTGTTGTGTCCCTGAGTGCCCTAATGCTTCACATGCCCCAGATGAAGGGTGTGAAGCTGACTGGTGTCAAGGGCTTGTGGGTGCAGATTTGACAGGCGAATGTAACTAGCACCACATATACCAGATGACCTCTACACTTCTATATGGCTCAAGACAACGAGTCATTGACTGCTACCCTGCTCTTTACTTGGCCAAAATTTGCTAGAGCTATTCACAAACAAGCCCCCTTTCCCATGTGCACATTTCAAATACTTGCACAAATAGTTGTTCTCTTTAGGCTCCTCTCTAAAAGTGGCCTAATCTATTGGCCTCTGCCACAAATGTAAAAGCTGACTGGCAGAAGTAACTGAGGTACAGAGCGTAGTTCTGAGAGACAGATTTCCAGAGGACCACACAAACCTTGAGTTCTGAGGGTTTCATGTTTCAAAAGGCATCCCTTTTGCTCATTCCTCACCCCGTGTGTGGATAACAGGCTCCACCTAGACAAACCAGCATGTCCCTAGGTGAAGCGATGATCCCTGGCCTTTCACAGAAACTAGAGAGCACTTCAGCACACCCAGTGCCCACATGTTCCCCAGCATTTTCATGTTTCTCTTCATATTTTGAGTGTGCTGCACATTTTGGAGTGTTTAGGAGCCTGGAATGGGCCAGATGTGTGTGGAGACTCATGGCATGGGCACAGAAGTTAGAGCTGGAGGAACACAGCTCATACGTAATTAACACAGATTTCTTCCAGCCTCCAGGCTGTTATGATGTCTCATAGCAGAGAGAGGCCTCTGGCCTGTTATTCTGACAGAACAGAACGAATCTCTATAAGTTAACCCCCAGACCTGGACTGCTGGGATTTAACAGCAGAGATCTTAAAGCAACAACATTGCAGACCTGCTGAGACGGGGGGATTAAGGTTGTCAGAGAACATGGAAAGCATCCTGCCAAGCAGCAGTCTGTCCGCAAATGAACAAAAATATCCCACAGGCTGTGACAAGCCAGAGGTTACAGAGTCTTCTTCCCTACATCCATGTTCCACTGCCCAGTCTGCCAGTCCCAAAGAAAAGAGTAGCGGACAGGGGGGCTTTAAATCTTTCTCTTCATTGCAGTATTTGTTCAAAAACTATGACTTTAAAAAGTTTTTAAATCCTGAAGACACAAGTTTTGGGGAGCATCTGATAGTCTGAACCAGCCATTCCAGACCTAAAACTGTCTAAAGTCTGGGGAATTTCTGCTCTGGTTACACTTGCTGTCTCTGACTCTTTCAGTCTCATGGGTTCTTTCAGCTCCAAAGATCCTTAGTCCTGGGATTGGGATCTGTTACCAGTTCTCCTCTAGCTCTAGCCTGACTGTGAAGATGGTCTGTTAAGAGCTGATTAATTTGTTGTTGTTGTTGTTGTTGTGACCTCTTTATCAGCTCTCCAACATCCACAAGAAATGCACCAGGGTGCTTGAAGCTCAGCCTGAACTCCCAAGCAAAAAGGCCGGAGCCAAGTTCGCTGGGGCCTCCAAGTTGTCCCAGCTTGCTGGATCTCTTGTACGAGCCTTGGTTGTCTCCTGCCTGCAAGCAATGCGAGCAGTCATAGCAACAGAGATATCATAGGACGGGCCTTGTAACAGGGGCTTTCTAGGACACAGATACCAGAGTCTGAGTTTTATTAGATGCTGTGGCACGCGGGAGAGAGGGGCTTTCATCACTGCACTTGTTTCATTACGGAGCCCTGGTGCTTCGGGAACATTCCCTTCTTCCTCGCTGCTGTCTTTGCGGTATCTGCATAAGCCACATGATCTGTAAATGTATAGCAAGGGAGCTATTGTATCTGTAGGATAAATTTGCCTGGTGAATTTGTAGAAAGAAAAGCCATCCTCCAAAAGGTGATTGGAGAGGATTCCCAGGGTCCTGGGACAGCAGCAAAGGGAGAGCCAGACCTAAGTAGCGCTGGGAATGGTCCACTTTATCCTTCCAGGAAAAAAAATGCTGCCTGCTTGTAATTGTGGTCTTGGAACTGAAATTGCTGACTAGCACAGCTCAGGATGTTAATGATACATACTAAGGGAACGTGTCAGATACAGCAATAAAAATAAACTGAACTGCCTGAGGCAGGGATGGGGGAGCTCTCAGGAGTGTAGGAAGGCTTTTCTAGCAAGCAAGTCTTCTTAGCAAGTTGCTGCAGTAAGACTTAGATTTCTTATGCAGGCAAATAGGTGCCTTGGACCTGATCATGTCGGTGCTTTTGAATATTTGGAGATTGTAGGTGCCAGACAAAGGGAAATACAGATCGTGCCCTAAATATTATAATAATGACATTATTAATTAATGTTACATTTCCAACAGGGGTTTTCAGTCACGAGTCTCTGAGCAGAAGCACTGAAGCAAAGAGGGAAACAACCTTGTTCCAAGTTTGAAATGTAAATTACAAAATAGTGCAAAAGAACAAGTATGGCATGACCGGCAGGCACAGGTCCCAGCTTGACCCCTGGCTGAGATCACTGCAAATATCAGACCTGGGCTACTAGCAAACCCATTCTGAGGCATTTGGGTCGCAGAGGTTTGCAATTTGGCAAAACTGGGGAAAACTAGGGGGAAAACAGTCCAAGAGAGGTTAGTGTTTTACCCACACACATCTGGGTGTTGTGCCAAAGCAGTCAACCAAGGAGCAGGGCAGCAGAGGAGAGCCAGGCTGCTCCTCAGTGAGAGGCCTTTTTTTCAGAGTGATCTGGAGGAAAAGAGTCCTTTTTCCAGCGTGGCTGGCCAGCCACTGCAGAGAGCTGCTTCAATGCTCTGAAGCCATTGTAAGCAGTTCACAAAGCTGCTCCTGTTACCCCATAGGAGCCTTTAATGCTTTTTGGTATCACCAGTTCCTTAGTTCTGCCCTATTCAGCCGTGGCAGAGCATCTGTAGAGCTTTCTACCTGTCTAGAATTTATTCTCTTGATTGACAACTTGGGAGAGCTGCCACTTGTTAAAGGTGAACTTGTAATGCAACTCAGCAGTTACCTGAGACTTGGCAGTCATTATAAGTTGAGGAGAGAAGGGCTCATTTTGAGGTCTCTCCCCTGCAAGGTGGGACTGCTTGACACCGTGACCTTGCTAGAACAGGAATGTTTGAGTTGGAGATTTGGAGGGAGGGGGTTGTATCTATAACCAGGCATTCAAGCTTTGAGGGGTTTCCAAACTGCCAGTAAAAGAGGGCTGCAGTGTTGCTGAGACCTTTCTTCTTGCAGTTGTCGCAGTGACCTGAGGACAATAGGGTCACCCACCGAATCCCTGGTCTGCTGGCCTTAAAGATCACAGAGATGGATTAGGAGAGTGGGTGATTTTGTAAGGGTCGTTAGGAAACCTGAAAGGCGCAGTACAGCAATAAGAGATCAGCCCCTGAGAGTGCCAGTGCAAGGATGCACCAGGCCCACTTCCTGCAGCTAAAATTCATCATCACATTCACCTCTGAACAACTCATGGACACTTCTGTCTGTTCTTTAACTGGGGCTACATGCTTTGCCTTCTGCATGGCCCCTGTTTTTCTCTCTATCCATACCACTTACCCTAGGATGTGCAATAAAATGGAAATAAGAGATGAAAAAAAACAACGGCAATTCTTGATGATTATTCAGGTGAGGTGTGATGCTAAATTGCAGTTCTCAGAAATGTAATCCTGAAAGAGGAAACACTTTTTTTTTTTTCTGGAAAACATTAAATTCTTTTGCAAGCAGGTATTTTGCCCAGTGTTCAGCTCTGACCCATTTACCTCCTTGGCAGCGGGTAATCACACCCCAGTGCCACCTCCTGAGCAGTCAGGACTGCTGCTGCATGTGTCGCAGTCACGTAGTGCCGGGTGCTGGGGGAGAGGCTCCTACTACCCGGCATGGCTGCAGGACTCCAGGTTCATTCGTTGTCACCACAGTGAACACCCGGCAGCTGCTACCAACAGGGCAGTGTCAGGCAGAGTCCTGCCTGTGCTTCAGCCTCCCTGCTCCCAGCTGAAGGAGCTGGGTTTGAAGTTTGCACTCAGGAGTGCAACTTCTCTTTCATGGCCCTAAGCCATGTCCTCTTCAATTGTATAACAATTTCAGTAACATACTCAACTCCCTGTCTCGGGAAAAACAGTGACACTAGTTGTCCATGGCTATTAATTGTAGAAATCTGCTGTTGCTTCTTCTCTTTCTCTCTTTAATTACTGCCTTGGAAGGACCTGTTGCTGCCACAGGCCTTGCAGTTTGCCAGCCAGACGGTGAGTGGCCAGTCCATTACCTCCTCGAGAGAGAGAAATGATGCAGAATGATTTGGCTGGCAGAGGCGCACATGGATCAGCATGAGTGACGAGCAGTAAAACCTTAGCAGGTAGCACTAGATACTGAAAAGCATTTCGACATTTGCCAGAGCTAGTGGAAGGGGAGACAAGGTCTGGAGAAAGCTTCAAAGGTGAAAGTATAAACCCACCCACATACCCAGTCCCTCCTCAGCTGTAGTCCTGGAGCTCTGAGCTGATACCAGTAGGTGATTTGCTCTGTGTCTGCTTGCCATCTTGTGAGGATGAAGCTGGAAAGAGCCGGTGGGAAGACTGTATAGCTGCTGTTCCCATCCTTGGAATCCTAACCTGAGAGAAACAGATGCTAGGAGACCATTGCCTCTGAGTCCCTTGGCCCTGGAGGGGCCTTTGCTCTGCCTCATGCCTTGAGAGGAATTGTGTGGCTGGGCACCTCTTCTGGGCTCCAGCATTTGGCCTTGGTCCTCCCACTGTAAATGCACCACCAAGCTCCCAACCCTTGAAAGAGGACTATTCACTACCTCATGTTCTTCATGGCATGAAGGTGCCACTGCTGTGGTTGCCTTTGG